TGGCTGTGGTAAAACTAGATTTTCAAGACAAAACAGAGAAGTCAGTTTTTACTACATCAGGAAATGTTTTTAAATCCTCAAATACAGAAACTGGTGTCAGCATTTCTTGTAGTCTCTCGTGCTTCAGACTCAGACAGTTAACATTTATGTGTCGTCAAGGATAAATCCTGGAATTTCAACACAGAAGATTTGAGTTTGAGCTCAGGGTAAAACTGTCAGTTTGTTGTGACACACAGTGAATATGTTTAAAATGATTCATGCTTAAAACATCATGACAAGAACAGCGCAACATGAGGCGCTGATAAATGAAAGAAAGTAGGCTCCGTGTCTGTCGCAAATGGATTAAATTGTTTGTTTGTTTGTTTTTGTTTTTAAGCTTTTTCCATTAACATTATATGTTGAAATCACTGTGTTGAAACCAGATTGATTTTTGAAGTCAATACAGCAGTGTCTGTACACACTTATGTATTGAAGCAGTGGAATGTGTGTGTGTGTGTGTGTAGAAGATTGTGTGACTTTATGAATGACACTGTTGTTTTCTTTTTTCCACCTCATCCTTCCTCTTCCTCTTCTCCCTTCTCCTCCACTTTCTATGCTCCTTTTCTCCTCAACAGGCCCGTCTGGATTTCCGTGACCCGCTCATGGTGTCTCTGGAATTTGGCCTGGCCAATGAAGACCAAGGCCCCGTCCTGGACGAAAGCCTGCCTCGATCCATTAATAAGACGGTAGGACAATTTCATATCACTTATTAAAACACCGTCAACTGCCAAACAACAACAAAGGAGACCTGTGTGTGTCAGGCAGGAAGCCTATCTCAAACCTTCTCCATCTGTCTGCTTTTCTAATCCAAGAATGAAGGAGTGGACTGTTCTGCTCTGGCTCTATACCCACTGTTGCTATAGTACATTAGACTCTGCAACAGCAGCAGCTGACTGCCATCCTTCAGGGTTTCCTCTCCAGTCTGCAGTAGGGTTTCAACACCCACAGGCGGAGCAGCTTCCCACACTCCCACATGCATATTTGCTCTTACAAGAGCAGTTTTTAAAGATTATTGTTCCAGTGAATGACGTGTCCAGATAAAGAGCCCCGACATTACAGACAGTACAGAAGTGTGAGAAGAACCACCTCTGCCTAGCCTAACTGTGCGGGGGGTTCAGACCTAACTCGATGTTCCTATGTCACTCACCAACGCTAACACTGTGGTTACATACCAAAATTTTTTGGCGGTGGTGGTGGCCTAGTGGTAAAGGAAGCGGACTTTGGTCTGGAAGGCCCCAGGTTCGAATCCACCAACTGCCCGGTTGCCACTGAGATGCACTGAGCATGGCATCGTCCTCAAGCACTGCTCCCTGGGCGCTGACCACGGCTGCCTACTGTTCACTTTGGTGATGGGTTAAATGCAGAGGATAAATTTCGTTGTGCATGGTGTGCTGTGCTGTGTCACAATGACAAATAAAGATAAGTTTAAGTTTTTTTGTTTTAAGTTTATCTAGGACATAAAAACATCAGGAGAGTCTGACTTATGCCTGGGAGCCATAATGAAGGGCAAAAGGTTCCCCCCAAAAACAGAAAAAAGAAAGTGACTGTAGCACAACTGGCGAATGTAAACAAAGCTGTATTCCACGTAGAGCGCCGCGTGACGACGTATTCATCCGCTACACTCGGCAAGTAGTTCCTGTGTGAAGTAGTTGGTGATTTTTAACACAGTACGTCGGAATGACGGAACAAGACTTTCTTCATAGACTGATGGGAAACTGAGGACTTTTTAGTACAGAGTACAGACAAATACACAACATTCCGACCAAACACTAGTTAGAAGCTGGTTAGTGCAGATCACCAGGTCCAACCCTGGCTCTGACTGATGGTCTCCCTGGAGGAAGTCTGCGTGGTCTTCCTGTGTGTACGCTGGTTTATACTCTGGTTTCCTGTGACTGTGCGCTTGACACTTTATGTGACTCTTTGATTGATTGGCTGCCTCTCTGGTGTTTACCCCGCCTTTCCCTGCTGGATGGCTGGGATTGGCTCCAGCTTCCCTCCAGCTTCCTAAGACCCATTTGTTTACTTTCAGTTTAATTAGACTTTTAGTGACCCATTAAAGTGAACCAGTGGGTTACATTTTTGATTGAGCTGTATGTGTGGTAAAATACCTGAAAAGTCTCACCAGTAATTCTATTGATGTATTATTATTATTATTATTATTATTATTATTATTATTATTATTATTATTATTATTATATTATTATTATTATTATTATTAT